TTGAAGATTTGACTCCACCATCAGTGAGATCGTGTCGCGGGCTACCACATTCTCTTTGACGGTACCCACTTCCGACGTCCCGTTCGCCCGCAATTCGCGATTGAAGATCTGACTCCACCATCAGGAAGATCGTGTCGGGGGCTACCACATTCCCTTTGACGGTACCCACTTCCGACGTTCCGTTCACCCGCAATTCGCGTTTGAAGATTTGACTCCACCATCAGGAAGATCGTGTCGGGGGCTACCACATTCCCTTTGGCGGTACCCACTTCCGACGTCCCCTTCACTCGCAATTCACTTCTATTGGCGACACGAGAAAGAGAGACAGCGATTCGAGATTTACGAAACGTTAAACCGCGTGAGTTCGCCACGGAAGGTAAAAGGCGCCCGAAGTTGACTACTTCTCGAAGACGCGCGCGCGCGCCTCGCAAAAGGTCGTTAATTTCGCCCCTATGACAAAAAACAAAATTCCGCGTTGTGCGCGTTTAAAACATCTTTCCGACAACACCAATTTCAAAAGAATCGGACCAAAACTGTAGTAGAAGATAGGAAAAAACTGAAAAACCTTCACGTTAGTATACTACGCTCGAGGATGACGCCCAGATGTCGCCAAACCCACATCATGTAGCCATGTCCCTAAGGTTGACAAATTTCACGGCCCTGTAGATACACGTACACCCGTTGCCTTTCTACAAGAGTTCCTCTACGCGCCCACATTTGCTGCCAGCCAGCCAGCCAGCCAGCCAGCCAAAGTGAGATTAAAAGCTACTTTTTACAAAAAAAATTTTTTGCAAAAATGCGCTAAAAAGTATAAAATCTTCAGGTTAGTATAACACGCGGGGATGGGCCCAGATGTAGCCGACCCCACATCTTGTAATCCCGTCCCTAAAGTTGTTAATTACACCGCCCCGATAGGTGCATGTACACTCCTCGTCTTTTTACAAGCGTTCTTCTAAGGGCTCGCCTTTACTGCCGGCCAACAAAGTGAGATTAAAAGTTACCTTTTTGCAAATAAATTTGCAAAAATGCGCTAAAAAGGGGCGAAATTAACCACCTTTTGCAAGGCGCGCCTCTTCGAAGGGTAGGTAGTAGGTACTCGACTTGGGGCGTCCAAAAGTTTCTTACAGCTCTAATCGCGGTCTTTCTTTCTCCTGTCGTCAATAGAAGCTCGAGCTATGGGAAGTACCCAAAAAATGCGTACTACTTTACTTTGTGGGGGGTTTTTAGCAAAATCCATCAAAATGCGAAATGCGGTTGAATCGGACGGCGGAACTGGGCACCGACAGAGAAAATGTGATAGCCCCCGAGAAGGTCGTACTGGTGGTGGGGTCAATACTTCACACACGGATTGCGGGTGAACGGGGCGTCGAAAGTCGGTACGAACAAAGGGAATGTGGTAGCCTTTAACAAGATCTTATTGATTGAGAATACTGATCTGCCACACAAAAATGCGTGGAAGTCCCTTCGATCTCACACGAGGATCATTTTTCCAAATACATTTGCAACAAGTTTATTTATTTATTTATTTACCAGCGAATCAGTATAGAAATTCAAAAAGGCAATGCCGAATGTATTTTAGGAACTTTACCTTTTTTTTGTAATTCTTTTGACGAAATTTATTATGTTTTAAAACCCCGTTCTTATACAGGGTGTCCCTAAAAGGTCTGTACAACGCGCTACCATGGGTTCTTGGTATCAAAATAGGACGATTTAACCCAACTTACCTCTATCCAAAAGTGCTTCGGTAAGGCGCTATCTACCGCCAAAGATTTTAAAAAAATCGTTATTTTTATTTTATCGGAAAATGGTTTTGCCGATTAAAATGAAATTCGGGATGTGAATGTCTAATGTAAAAAGGGTCTTTGTGATATCATCGTTTTGATTGAAGTTGCTATGTAGGTGGTAAAATACTGACCATCCACATCTGAAGAGGTCTAAAACTTTTTAACTACTATTTTGACGGTATTGAATTTTTAGACACTGATAGACAGTTTACTTGCAAGCATTTTTTGTCTCTTGATGAATATCGCTATCTGTGATGGTTTACGAAAAAAAAAAAATTTAGGCATGATGAATGGCATGCACCATACATGCGATTGTTCCTCAAAAACCATAAGTGCAAGCAAGAAGTAGGCTATGACGATTTGGAAACCTGTGAGTATACTCCCTAACGCATTGGCGACCATTTCCACGACAGTATCCAAACACTAATAGCATATCACTTAACTCTGCGTTACTGTATTGAAAAGCCATATTACAATTTTAACAATGAAATTTTAAGTCTTCAAGCAAAACGTAAATTGTTCAAGTTTAAGAAACAACAAACAAACGTTACGCCACTCTAAGGTTTAACAGCCATCTTCTGATTTTTTGAGGAACAATCGCATGTATGGTGCATGCCATTCATCATGCCTAAATTTTTTTTTTCCTAAACCATCACAGATAGCGATATTCATCAAGAGACAAAAAATGCTTGCAAGTAAACTGTCTATCAGTGTCTAAAAATTCAGAACCGTCAAAATAGTAGTTAAAAAGTTTTAGACCTCTTCAGATGTGGATGATCAGTATTTTACCACCTACATAGCAACTACAATCAAAACGATGATATCACAAAGACCCTTTTTACATTAGACATTCACATCCCGAATTTCATTTTAATCGGCAAAACCATTTTCCGATAAAATAAAAATAACGATTTTTTTTTTAAATTTTTGGCGGTAGATAGCGCCTTATCGATGCACTTTTGGATAGAGGTAAGTTGGGTTAAATCGTCCTATTTTGATACCAAGAACCCATGGTAGCGCGTTGTACAGACCTTTCAGGGACACCCTGTATGTAATTTGTTCCTGTTCTATTATTTTCATTAAACGTTTATTTATATGAAAAAAAGCGCATTTCGACTTGCATTCATTTCCCATTTGTAAGATGCAACTTCTGTTCAAAATCGTAAAAATCCGACCACAAATATGAAAGATAGCGTTGCACATGTGCAATCCATTTTTGACGTGCTACCAAAGAGTAACTGGTATTCTTTGGTGCTACTTTAATTTCAGTTTATAAGAAGAATTTCATTTCAGTGCTTTTCTAAATAAGAAAATTGGAACTACTCATGCGCAAGCCTAAATTTTGAAACTAACGTTAGATTTTCATTTGTTCCAAGGGGCTATGTATCAAATTTCATTCAAATGCTTTTATAAATAAATAAAAAAGTTTTGATTCGGTTTATAAATGGTCGAGATGCGAAAAGGCCAAAGGGCACGGTGAATTTTGAATCGATTTGACTCAACTTTTAAAATTGCGTATTATATGGCTGAAGCTATGCCCATATTGAATTTCATGCAATTCAATTCACAACCATGAACAAGATGTCAAAGCGATCTAAACAAAGTTATTGTTCACACGGACAGATAGATGGATAGGCAGCAATACAAAATTATAAACGATCTCTAGGACCGTTAATAAACGGCAAAAGTGTAAAATTATGGAACATGTAAAAAATGGTTTTTTGTTTTTTTTACAATAACTTTTTTTAGCAATAAACGCAGAAAAAATTCTTTCCTTGGTGTAAGCCTCGACACCATAACGAACCAAATAGCGAAAAAAGTAGAACAACAGCTCTTAAGATAAAGAACTAGTAGCGTCCCAACGACGGACGAACCGACGGGCGGACAAGGTGGCCACAGTAGCCCATTTTTTATTTTTGTGGAAATGTGCTCAAAAGCAACCCCCCGACCCGGGGTCAACTTTGAAGTAGCGTATAAGTAGAAACTAAATCTTAATTTTTGTGCAAATTTAGTTGGACCACTACTTCTCCATCCCGCCATAATTTATCGTAACTGATTAGCGATTGGAAGCAAGCGTCCTGCGATTATTTAAATACGACGCGTCGTTTTTTACAGTTGTTGGATAGAGTCATCCGACGAGTATACACGATACTACCTAGTACTTGATCAATAAGCTGTTGTTGTAACGGGTACCGATTCGATTGACTTATTGTAACCAATTCGAGATGGCGCCCCCTACATCCATTTGCAATTAATCGAAATGTTAACGTTAACTTTTCCCTAAAAAGTTACCCCTTATTGATTTTATGGTGGGAAATTTCGAACACGTCAACGGACTACCTCGAGGAATTTCCACACTTTCAATTTTATCAACGGCCCGTGCCGTACACGTCGGACGCATTTTCTCCAAAAGAATTTCTACCTATACCTGGTCGGATCATCGACGGACAGGAAATTCGAGTGCGCAGGTAAAACGCAATTAGGCGCGCAACTCGTGGCGGTCTTCGTTGAAAGGGTGTACCGTAGAAAAAAACATCAGTAGCTCGTAAGCGATAGAAAGGTGAACGGCGCTTTTACTTCCCGTAGCCGAATCTCCGTTGCGATGTCCTAGCGTGAAAGTGATCGGTGAAAAAATGATTCAATTTTGCTACTCGAGCGACCGATGAAATTGATACAACTTTATTTGCTCAACTGACAGGTGAGTGACAAACAAATGCGGTCGGATAACTCGGCGAACTGGTTTGCTGCAGATGAAGAAAGCGCCAGGTGTCAATGCCTTAATAGTTTTTATATTGGCTGATCGTTCATGTTAATTTTTTTCTTCACAATTGCTTACGTAAAAACTGGGACCGTTGCGCTAATTTCCACATTTTTTGTTTTAGTAACTTCAGAGGGCGCCGATTGCGGACTAAAAAAAGTTGTTCGCATTCAAATTGGTAGTAGCAAAGATTTTTAGTACATCTACATACGCAATTATGAACTTATACATATGCAATTATGAGAAATACATAGTGACATAAAGTAATAAGGATTACAGAAGAACGGATAATGCATATAATTCGCTAAAATATAGTGAAGTTATTTGGGCGTTCTTTAATAGTCGCAGATAAAAGGTTTTTATTCACTGGTAGTAGTGAGCGGAATTGGTTTGGGGGTTTCGCTTTTCTTCCGCTCTGCAAAATGTGTGTCAATGTAAAGTCACATGAAGGAGGAGGACCTCCCAAGTTATCGGCAATGATATACCACAGATTTAAATAGTATATTTAAATCTGTGGATATACTGTCCTAAATATTGAATTGTTTTCGCTTTTAACACAAACAAATTTATATTTATTTAAACAGTATAGCCGTATAGGTAATATCCAGTTTCAGTAGGTACATGATAGATCACTGTGTAACTTTGATTATTGCCTACGCATGGCTTGTTTAATTCAGACTGCTTCTCGTATGTCCTGGAACTGCTTTTATTGTACCTATTCTACTTGTTTAGGGTTAGGAGGATGCTAATTTTTTTACGAGAGTATCGCCACATTATTGAACTGGCTTTAAACGAGTTGTTCTTCATACTTCGCCTTCTATGGAGGATAATCGCCAACAATGATATCAATTTTTCTCGGTGTTTCTTGACAATTTCTGTCTCTCGTGATCTTCATTAGCCTGTTATCATCGGCTCTAAGTATTATGTTTAGTGTTTCAGAATTTCCGGAAAAATTGGTCTCTTAGAAAAAAGCCCGTCTTTCCACAAAAAAATCGGAAAAACTGGAAATAAATGGCATAATAATTTGCATTTATACGTAAAAAATGCGTGGATGTGCTTTTACGAGTGTGACTGTTGGTCTTTGTTCTTATTATTGTAATTTGTAGAGACAGTTTTTTAAGTTCATAATTTCTAATTGGGATGAGTTAAAATTGTTCCCAAAAAAAGCCCATTTTTTCCTTACCCCTTTTTTTCCAAATTTTCTGGTTTTTTACCGAACCTTTAAAACACTAATTATGTTCATCCCATCTTTCTCTTACGAAAAATCGCTCTAAATCGCTACGTAGCGCGATTCATTATCGAATGTTCCACTTATTTCTTTGCTGGAGGCGTAATGCGACAATATTGGTGCATCATCTTACAACTGTGATGGTATAATTTTGCGATATATACATTGATTGTATGGTTGCTTCAATATAAGAATTAGGTACTATTTGGCCGCTTTTTCCTCACAAAGAGGAAATAGACCTACCAAATTATAAATGCAGAGGAAGAGAAATTCCAATGCTGTAGCATTCAACAGGATCTGTGGTATCTCGAGGTAATTTTTTAGGTTCTATGGCAGACTTTTTGATATGCTTCAATCTTGTTTAGCGCATTTCCACAAAAAATAAAACAGGTTGTAAATCTGCATGATTAAAGCGCATTTTTGGCAATACAGGTCAGTATTTTATTAGCGAAGTTTAAAATTATCGATCTCACGAGTAATTTTCGCTGCGTTAAATAATTAATTTTATTTAATTTCAATTGAGAGCACGTCTTCATTTTGTAAAACAAATCACAAAGTAAATAATTAAGTTTTTATACTGGTAGCGCTATCTAACGGTAAAATTATAGCACCTCCGAAAACCATATCGAAATTATTTTCTTAAATTATCGATCTCACAAGTAATCTAACTCAAAATAGACTAGAGCCTGCACATCTACACTATAGCAGAAAGCTTTTAGGGAAAATTTGAAGTCTCTAGCTATTGTAGTTGCTGAGATCTCACCCGGACAGCCGGCCAGCCAGCCATAACGAATATATCAAAGTATTTTTTTCAAAAATGCGCTATTGTGACCACTTTGTCCGTCTGGACGCTACTAGTTCTTTATCTTAAGAGCTATTCTACTTTTTTCGCTATTTGGTTCGTTACCAAGGAAGGATTTTTTTCTGCCTTTATAATAATAATATAATAATAATAATAATAGTCGTTTATTGAGTTGCCGTTTACAACTTTATAAAAGTAGGTAAAATAATTTATGTGACAACCCAAAAGGAAGAAGTTCAGATTGGTACGGCATCCATACCATCTGCTCTCCCACTTAACCCTTTTAAAATAAACTGTTAAATCATTTATGGCAGCAAGATATATTGGAGAAACAAGCAAAAGAACAGAAAACGCCATTAATTTATTGATTATGCAGTAAAGACTTGTAAAGGAACCTCTTAAATCCGAGCTTAAATCACAAGATTTTAAAGCCGGACTGAGGGAATTATAAATTTTGCAGATGTTATAACTGAATGAACGTTGATATAGAGCAGTTTTATGAATCGGTACCGTTAGAATATCCTTTGATCTAATGTTGATACTATGGACATCCGTTTTAAGAGTTATTGCTAAAAAAGTTATTGTAAAAAAACCAAAAAGCGTAGTTTACATGTTCCATAATTTTACACTTTTGCCGTTTATTAACGATCCTAGAGATCGTTTATAATTTTGTATTGCTGTCTGTCGTTTGTCTGTTGGTCTGTCCGTCTGTTCCTTTGTCTATCTGTCCATCTATCTGCCGTGTGAACGATAACTTTGTTTAGAAATGTCCGATCGCTTTGAAATTTTGTACACATGTTCTTAGTTAAAAGTAAAATTGATGATTATTTCAAAAATTTGTTTTGCACATTTGCAATCCATTTTTTCAATTGTTAGGTATTTAAATGGAATTTCCTCGAATAAAAGTAGCACTAATGTCCATTAAAAAATTGGGTTTGCGCATGCGGAATCTAATTTTTTACATTTGTCAGGGTATTTAAATGAAATGTTGTATGTAGGCACCTCGACTAAAAGTAAAATTAATGGCTATTCAAAAAATTTCTCTTGCCCATACGCAATTCTATTTTTAGCGCATTTCCATAAAAATTTAAAAAAATGCGTTATTGTGGCCACTTTGTCCGTCTGTCCCTCTGTTTGCCCGGCCGTCTGTCCGTCCGTCCGGCCGCTACTACATCTTTATCTTAAGAGCTATCGTTCTACTTTTTTCGCTATTTGCTTCATTATGGCGCCGAGGCTTGCACCACGGAAGGAATTTTGTCTACGTTTCTTATTAAAAGTTATAGGAAAAAATCATTTTTTCATGTAGCATAATTTTGCACTTTTTCCGTTTATTAACGATCCCCTAGATATAATTTTGTATCGTCTGTGTGTCAGCCTGTTGTCTGTCTGTCCATCTGTCTGCTCGCCCATCTGTCCGTGTGCACGATAACTTTGGGAAAAACGTCGGTATTATTTTTCAGCTACGTAGACTAGTGGCCAAAAAGTTACAACCCAAAACCTGGCGAAACCTCCAAAAAATGGAGTTCTTATATCATTTTTGTTTCAAAGAACATATGAATGTCCGGGTTTTCTGTGAGTTAGTAAATATTCCTTAAACCTCAAGCAACTATGAGACGAATTAAAAAAAATTGCGCATGCGCAACCCAGATTTATAGCATTTGCGCAATTCAATTTCTTAATTTGTTAAGACACAAATGAAATTTCCTATATACGCACCTGGAATAAAAGTAAAACTAATACCAAATTTAAAAAGTTGTTTATGAGCTATGCTGATCTGAGGGGACAGAATCAACCCCTTAAGAAGGTGTGATGTAAAATTAATGGATGCACGAAGATCTCTATTATGGTTGGCTGAAATAACTAATTTTTTCGGACAAAGACTGTTAATGTGGAAATGCGCATTTTGTAAATCGTTTACGATTACTTTTTGAACTTGTTGCTATTTTCAGTTCTTCGGCTCACCTTCAAACCACCCCTACTTCTACTTCTAATTCTTACGTTCTTGTCCCTTCGGTAAGCGACTCTCTACCCTTATAATCCGGGTGTTGACAGATACTTATCCTCGTACTTATCCTTCCAACTATCCCACCCCCACCCGTTCTCCGACAATCTTTTTTATGTCGAGCACTCGCTATGAATTCCTATCCCACCTATCCATATTTTGGCACTTGAAGAAGCGCAACTTCTCCAGACATTCTCACCTTCTTTGCTTCCCCCTACAACTACTTGAAAACTTAGAAACAGTTTCAAATAAATTTGTACTGTGCTGCTGGTCTTATTATTTCCAGCAAAACAGTGCTCCACATTAAAGTCGATTATCTAATCATCAAATTAGTAATTAACGAGCTATTAGTGCGGAGGATAGGTAATTCGAAATCTAAGCGTTTGCTTAATTAGCCGACATTTAGACTTAAACTTAACACGTAGAACCTTGTGACGGATATAAGTGCAGATACAAAGATAATTTTCGAATTGTTATTTTCGTATTTTGAAAGAATCCCACATACTAAATTTTCGCATCTCCAATTTACAGTAGGAATTTGGAAATATTTTTTCAAAATCCGAAATATATAAATGACCCAAATGCCATATGCTGCAGTTTCTGAGGAAAAAATCCTATGTCCAGTCGACAGGTTGGAAAAAGTAGTGTTAGCTGCAATAAAGTCGGAAGTTAATTAAGCTTTTTTTTAATAATAATAATAATAATATTTTTTTATTAAGGGGTACAATCCTCCCTTTACAAGCTTACATAACAATAAGTGGCATTCTACACCAAAAAATGTCATGGTTACTTAAACTTTCCTCAAGTTTTCGACTTCGACGACCTTGTGCGAAAAGAGGAGGAGAGGGAAAACTGCAAAATTGTTGACTGTCTTCCGGTTTTTCCCCAATAACTTTTTTCCCTTGCGT